TCAGTTTGTACGAGTTCCTAGCTGCCCATTTCTGTTTTTTTAGGCAACATTATAATGTAGCTTCTCATTCTTCATGTCTTCTGGGGCTGTGTGCTCTGAACTGCTTCTGAGTACTTGATTTACGTTGCCTGAACTTAATAGATATAAAGAAGACTCCCTAAGTCTTTGTGCCAGGTGATTCCAAAGCCTTTGTGCTCTTAGATACTGTATTAAAGCTGTTTCTGTAAGTTATTCCTAGCATATATTTCATTCAGGTTTTAATTCCATATTACAACATTGTGCTGAAATCTTCCTGCCAGTCTGCCCCTGCAGAACATTTTATCTACTTTTTTCTAGATTTCATTAGTTGTTCTAGAAAGCGTGCAAGATCATCATCTTTTACTTTCCAGAAGTCTAACTCTCAGTCTAACACAGGTATGACATTCAGCTCAAGGCATATTCTAATTTCTATAGTTCTGCATTCTCATCTGGTAAAGAAGAAAAATAATTTTCCTGTCTAATAAACTTTTCTGCTGCCAGTCATGAAAATATAAACATTGATGTAAGCTTGGTGGTAATTTACAGTAAATCTCTTTTGAAGTAAAAATATTAATTTTCCAAACTAAAATCTGTGTATTTCATATAGTTTCCTAAAGTTGCTTACACAGTCAAGGGAAGAGGGGTAGAAAGGAAGGAGATTCCCTGGTTTGTGGAAGAGATCAGTGTTCTTTGGGAAATCCCTGAAAATGTAAAGCAGTTTCCAGAAGGGCCCTTCCTTCCATCTGGCCAACAGATGACCTGGAAGGCCTTCTAAGGACTGTGCATTTCTTCCATAGAAAATGCACAAAACTCACTGAGGCTACCGTGCAGAAGGACTGATCTGGATTTTACAATGTTTATTTCATATACAGATGGGACCAGAAAGTTATTTCTGATTTCAGATGGTAATATGTGTACAGTATATTTTGTTTACCTAATCCTGACACCCCTGAATGCAGCTAAGAGGACTCAAGATAAGCTAAGTTTGTTTTACTTTGAAAATTATACTGAGGTAATACATAGAAAACCAAAGATATAGTAGAAATTTTAGGTTATGCCTATACCAAAAATTAATGCAGGGTGCAGGAGGGAAGTTGAGAGTTTGACCTCTGATTGTTGACACTGCCTAACAGATAGCTCCCTCCTCCCTAGTTGTGTTTTGAACCTCTCCAAATGGCCATCTCCAAGGCAGAAGTGTTACATTGTCTGTTGGCCCCAGAGACCTCTCTGATTCAGCAGCAGAGGCATAACCTAACAGTCTACTTCAGAAAGCTGACAGTTAGCAGATAGTAATTTATTTTACTGCCTGATGACATTAAATTGACTGATCTTAAAATAAATATTATTTCCTCCAAACAAATGATCATTTCTTGCTCATCCTTTCAGACACAACTTTTGCTCAGAAAAGAGGGAGATTATCTTCCTTTATCATCCTTCCTGCCTTTCCTCCCTCCCATCCAGGTAATTAAAAACAAACAAACAAACAAACAAAAAACATCGAGAGAGAACAACACAGGTATTATCTAAAATAAAGAAGTTTACAGGAATGCTGCAGGACAGAGCTGGAGTGTGTTGGACTAGGCTGATATTTGGAAAGGAGAAGGGAATGTTTCAGAAGGAGGACTGGCAGTTCAATAGAAGAAATGTTTTTTGCATTTATTGTTAGGGAATCCTCAATGTTAGGGAATCTGAATTGTACTTGAAAAAACAGAGTGGAGTTCAAGTGACTAAATGAAAGAGTTTGCTTGCAATTTAATGATGATCATTCCTGGGGGAATATAATTTTCTATCGCAGGAGCCTGTCTTCCTCCTAACCGGTTACCCTGGGAGTGTGCTACGACTTACCACTAATGGGAATAGGTCTTAAATTCTAGTCTTTGTCTCTTACCCGAGACAGTTCCTTGACAGAGATTGGCATAAAGGATTCCTAAGCATTATTAAGAGGACACAACATTGTTACAGCAACAAACCACACTGTTTCTGCCATGAAAAAGTAGTGATTATGTATGGAGTGTCATTTGTGTCATTTTACAGGACATGGTAGATGGTTGCCATCACTTTCTGGCTGGTGTTTGGTATCTTTTTTAAAACAGTGAAAGCATTAGTAATGTAATCCTGTCATTATAGTAGTTGTTTAAGCCTTTTTGCCAGGACAGGGCAGGGCACCTTTATTTATTCCCATGTGATTGGGCCTCATGTACACATTTTAAAAATGCCTAAGACTAGACCAGATAGAATTGCCAATAGCTTTTGCAAACCAGCAGCACCTGGTTTTCAAAGCTGAAGAAGGATGTTACGAGTCTAAAATATCCATTAATATCCAAAGACTTTGGTCTCTGATGTAGCCAGAAAACCCATGGTGCTTTCTATGGCTGAGTCTATCCATCTGTAAAATGCAGACAATAACAGTTATCTCAGAGATCTTGTTTAGATGGAGAGGTTGCAATATTGGTCATGTACCACCAAAATATGGAGGGGATACAGAAATGTGAATTAATAATTGAAATTTGTTATTACTCATTATTGAAGTTTATATTTCTCGTTCTGTAGTAAAGAAGAATAATATATTCATGACCTCAGCTGCTTTTCAAAGAAATACTGACTGGATCAAAAGTACAAAAGAAGGTAACTGTCATTGCTGTATTTTTTCACTGTAGTTCTACAAATTTGTTCTTAACAGACACAGAAGACATAAAAATGACAACTCATTTCTATGCTGAGATAGGCTTTATGAGATTCATAAATTGTTTGTCAGTGTAAATATCCTGTGAGCTCTGTTCTGAGCCCCTGCTCTGGCTCCCTAATTCCTGAGTTAACTGGGTATAACCTTGAACAGTGGAATTCCACACTTCTAACTGAGTAACTCTACTCAAAAATGCAATGAAGAACCTTCTTGTTGTGTGCAGGTGCAGGATAAAATTTGAAATACCAGAAGATAGCTCTGCCACAAAGCAGCAAATATAAGTGGATGTAAAAATTATATACTTAAATACATACATACAAACATATTTTATAAATAAATATATTTTTGTATATAATGCATTACATTTTTATTCTGATAGGATAACAGAGGTTGCTGTCATGTGGAGTTGTGTATTTTAGAAGGGATTACAATTTCTCAGAGTATGTAGCAAGTAAACAGTAATGTGTTGTTTAAATATGCTTTGAAGATTTCAGTTAAAGAGACAAGATACATAACTATGGATTACATGTGAAGAAAAAGTCTCTGCATACATATTTTGTCTTTGTATTTTGCAAGGATCCTTGTCACAAAGTCAACTGTGGAATGTCATTAGAACTGCTATTTTGCAACCCCCACAAGTCCTGGCCTGTCCTGAAAATCCTGTGGTATCTTTAGTAACTAAGAAAGAAGCACATGTTCAGGTAAAAAGAAAACTAATTTTGCTGGCTAATATAAGTTTGCTGCTCAAATCAAAAACAAAACCAAAAACCCAACAAACAAAAAAACAAAACCCAGTGCTATTTTAAAGCAGTTGATTATTCCACTGCATGATTCTCAAGCAAGTTGCTATATCAGTTTCAGTGGAATTGATGGATCACTGACATGGTGTTTTATTTGGTTTTATTATTCCTAGCTATCTGAAGACAGCTCTTTTTCCTCAGCTGAGAATTCAGTAGGATCCAAACCAGCAGCGAGGTCATCTACTACCATGAATCCTTCTAGCTCTAAAACATTGCAGTAAGTTTTTTTTATTTATGATGTCTACACCATTTTGTCACATGGCCTATGGCATGTCCTTTTGTCCTACACGTCTACCATTGTGCTAAGCCCATGCCACCCACACCCACATAGTGCTCACTGGCAGTTGTGTGTGGTGCCAGGATTTGTGGGTACTGGCACTAGCTTCGTATGCCATAAGAAATGGACTCCTGCCAGGAATTAGCCTCTGTGGGACAGTTTGTTTCTGATTAGCAACCCATAAGCCAGAAACAATTTTGGTTTGCCAGATTGCACAGCTTTGGCGGTTCAAAAAATGTCACAGCTTTGAATGTTTACAGTCATCTCTGTGTCCCTTTGGACAATTCTCTTCTGATAGTATAGCTGCAGCATCTCATAAGCAGATGCGGAGAAACTCAGGAATTACCAATATATGTCACCATGCTGCACACAGGAGACATGAAGAAAACCCTACAGGACTGATTTGGAAGACAAGGTGAATTCTGCAACTGATGATCTACTTCCATGCACATGCCAGAATTTCTGGCATAAACTAACTCTGATGACTCTAATAGGGTGGTATCTTTGTGCAGACATGGGTTGATCAGGATAGACTTCAGAATTTCTGCCTGAGGAAGCTGACTTCCTTGGCCTAGAATGTTGCCCCATGCCCTTGCCTCTGTATATGGCTCAAAGAGCTCATATTGGGGCAAAAGTGAGCTATTATCTCTCTGTGGAGGCTGGCTCATGAGAATGCTAGGTCTGTGCTTAGTTGGCAATTTATCTTTGTGGGTATTAATACTGCTTGCTGATGGTCAGTGAGGGTTTATTGATGTGGAAGCTGTGAACATCAGGAATATACCTGAGCTCAGTTATGATGAGAGAATGACATTTCAATATTGCTAGGGCAACACAGAACACATTTGTGATGTCTCCTTTCCCCCTCCCACAAGAAGAGGTCAGAGAATGCAGTAGCTGCAAAGGAGCCTGTTCAGTCTTTTTCTGGGTTGGACGGGCAACAGATAAGGGATTCTGCATGCAGCATTTGAGATGCACAGGGCTGGGGTTCGGAGGAGATAAAGGATTTTTAGATGCACGGACAACTTAATCTTTATTCTGAACCTTTATCAACAAAAATGGTATCATTAAAGGGCAGCCAGTGTGTTTTGGAAGAGCCAGCTTGTCCTTTTCTCTCACAAATATTGCTGTGATGATGCCCTGTGAGGACAATAAGGAGAAACACAACATATTTTAGGAGTTTCAGAATGATGGTAATGCACATACTGAAAAAGGTAAAGGGAAGATGGTGCTGACTTCAAAATCAGTTAGTATTGATATTCCAAGTCCAGTTACCCTGTCATCTGCACAGTATCTAGGAAAAGATAGGTGAGTGGCTTTTTCTTAAGAAATAGATGGATAGAGAAATACAATATAGTGTTTCAGTGCTGACAAGTTAAGAGATTAAAAGTGCTTAATGGTATTTCTCTTTGCCTTTTCTTTTTCAAAAGAAGGGTTGCTAATTTGCTTGGGATATTTGTGCCTCATTAGTTCCAGGAGATGCTCTGTGTTGGATTTTGTCCTCACCAGCAAGGAAGGGCTGGTGAGGGATCTTAAGCTCAAGGGCAGCCTAGGTTGTATTGACCATGAAATGGTGGAGTTTAAGATCCTTAGGGAAGCAAGGAGGGCTCACAGCAAACTTACTACTCTTGACTTCAGATGGGCAGATTTCAGCCTCTTCAGGGATCTGCTCAAGAGAGTGTCTTGGGATAACATCCTGGAGGGTAGAAGGTGGCAGAGCAACTGACATCATCTACCTGGATTTGTGCAAGGCATTTGACACTGTCCCACATGACATCCTGGTCTCCAAACTGACAAGACATGGATTTGACAGATGGATCACTCAGTGGATAAGTAGATTGGCTGGATGGCTGCACCACCCAGAGAATTGTGGTCAATGGCTCGGTGTCCAAGTGGAGGCAGGTGACAAGTGGTGTTCCTCAGGGGTCAGTACTGGGACCAATGCTGTTTAATACCTTTGCTGGAGATATGAAAAGTAGGATTGAGTGTATTCTCAGCAGGTTTGCTGACAATACCAAGCTGTGTGGTGTGGTTGACACCCAAGAGGGAAGGGATGCCCTCCAGAGGCACCTTGACAGGCTGGAGAGATGAGCCAGCACCAACCTCATGAAATCCAGCAAGGCCAAGTGCAAGGTCCTGCACCTGCTTCAGTGCAACCCCAGGCACAGATACAGGCTGGGGGGAGAGTGGCTGGAGAGCAGCCCTGAGGAGAAGGACTTGGAGTGGTAGTTGATGAGAAGCTCGACATGAGCCACCAGTGTGTGCTGGAGTCCAGAGAACCAAACACATTCTGGGCTGCATCAAAGAAGTGTGTCCAGCAGGGCCAGGGAGGTGATTCTGCCCCTCTGCTCTGCTCTGGTCAGACCCCACCTGGAGTACTTTGTAGAGTTCTGGACCCCTCAACACAGGAAAGACATGGAGCTGCTGGAGAGAGTCCAGAGAAGGGCCATGAAGATGATCAAAGGGCTGGAGCACTTCTGCTATGAGAACAGGCAGAGGGAGTTGGGGCTGTTCTGCCTGGATAAGAGAAGGCTCCAGGGAGACCTTATAGCACCTTCCAGTACTTGAAAGGGCCTACAAAAAAGCTGGGGAGGGGCTTTTCACCAGAGAAGATAGTGATAGGACATGGGGTAATGGTTTTAAACTGAGAGAGAAGAGATTTAGGTTAGATATGAGGAAGAAACTCTTCACTATAAGGGTGGTGAGGAACTGGAATGGGTTGCCCAGGGAAGGTGTTGATGCCCCATCCCTGGAGGTTTTAAGACCAGGTTGTACAAGGTTTTGTGCAACCTGATCTAGTGGTAGGGTTCCCTGCTCATGGCAGGGGGATTGGAACTAGATTATCTTTAAGGTCCTTTCCAACCTTAATGATTCTATGAATGTTGGTGTAATTGAAGAATTTAACAATAATTTAAATTCAATCAGGTGCTTACTGCCCTTCTGAGGTTTCAGGGGAGTGTTAGTGCCATTCTTCTGCTCCACATTAAGTGACTGATGCTTTAAAACTGCAATAAAATCTTTTTGGCGTAAGTACTCAAACACACAGCTTCATTAAACTCAATTTACATGCTAAACTATAGCAAACATGGCAGCCAGATCTACTAATTTCTAAGAAAAGATTTTTTTCATATTTGTTTTTAATTATCTATCAAGGTGTAACTATTGACATTTATCTACAAAAAATAAAACGCAGAGAGACTCAACAGCA